GGGGTGTGTGTGTGAGTGTGAGAGAGAGAGAGTGTGTGTGTGTGTGTGTGTGTGTGTGTGTGTGTGTGTGAGAGAGAGAGATTGTGTGTGTGTTTCTGAGGTTGGAGTGAAGTTGTGTGGTTTCTTGGTGTAAAAATATAATTCCATTAAAGGTTTGTGGGAGATGTAATGATGTGTAAAGAGCCGCTCGAGGAGGACATTTATTACGTAAATGAACGAGGGTGACTGGAACGAAAGGAATTTTCACATACTTCTCTCTCTCTCTCTCTCTCTCTCTCGCTTCTTCTAGACGATTTTAAAAGAGGGAAAGTTGATGAAACAGACAAATTTTCAGCGCTGGAAGAGACGTTACTTTAAACTGCGGGGAAGAACGCTGTACTACGCTCAGACAGCCAAGGTCTGTCTAAACAACACACACACTTTTAATTAGCTGTGTGAATTAGAGCATACCATAAACTTCTATTACTTTTATGTAAAGCTTTTTATAATTAATACACACTAAGCCAAACCCTAAAACTACATATATATATATATATATATAAAATATATAAAAAATCACCTCTTTCTCTCTCTCTCTCTCTCTATATATATATATATCTCTCTCTCTCTCTCTCTATATATCTCTCTCTCTCTCTCTCTCTCTCTCTCTATATATATATATCTCTCTCTCTCTCTCTCTCTCTCTCTATATATATATATCTCTCTCTCTCTCTCTCTCTCTCTATATATATATATATATATATATATATATATATATAGATAGATAGATAGATAGTACATCATCAAAGGAGTGTTTAGTAAGCTTAAATTCGCTTCTGGAAACAATTTTGTATTGTAGATATTTATAAGTAAACACATAAATCACAAACAGATTTAGATGAAATGTCACTGGATTCTTAATTATTTATTGATTTGTTTTCAGTCAATTATTTTTGATGAAGTGGATCTGACGGATGCCAGCGTAGCAGAATCAAGCACGAAGAACTTTAACAATAGCTTTACTGTGAGTTCACACACACACACACACACACACACACACTCTACACACACACACACACGCGCACACACACACACACTCTCCCTCATGCACACACACACACACACACACACACGCACGCACACAAAATACTTATTATTTAAATAAGGATATGCTGTAATGTTCTTTCATATAAAGCTAATTATAATTGGACCTGAATAGTGTGATGTGATGTGAGTGGTGCTTGCCTGTGCAAAACGTCCCATGATTAAGGAATTATTTATTTAACAATTCCAGCTCTGATTCCTCTCAGTGATTCCTTAAGAACCCTTTAACAATTCTTTAGTACTTTTCAGGAAGAAATGCTCTGGAAAAAGAAATCGCATGACTGCATTTACGGCCCTCAGCAGTCTGTTTGCCAAATGACGAGCTCGTTTCAGAATAGATATAAGAAGTCCGAAATAATTCTTTTTGAAAGGCTTTTTAGTGACGTTTTAGAGCCACCATAAATGCTCATTTTTCTGTGTATTACATAAATATGACATACACTTCTGTTCAAAAGTTTGAGGTTGGTATAATTTTTTCATGGTATGATTTTGCATTTATTTGATCAAAAATACAGTAAAAATGGTGAAATATTATTACAATGGGAATCTCTGTTAAACTGTAATGTATTTCTGTGATGCGCAGCTGTATTTTCAGCATCATTACTGCAGTCTTCAGTGTCACATGATCTTCAGAAATCAGTATAATATGCTGATCTGCTGCTCGAGAAACATTTCTGATTATTATCAATGTTGAAAACAGTTCATATTTTTGTGGAAACCGTGATGCATTTTATTTTTCAGGATTCTTTGATGAACAGAATGTTCAAGAGAACAGAATTTATTTGAAATAGAAATCTTTTATAACATTATAAATGTTTTTACTGTCACTCTCAAGTCTCTTTGATGTTCTGATCTCAAGATATTTTTAAGTCTAATGACTTAATGCTAAACTTCACTGATAACCCCTAAAAGAAAACTTTTTGAATTTGTAGCAAACAAAACCTATTTTTAGCTTTGAGAATGTCTGTTTTAGGTCAGATTTAGCTCACTTCTGGAGACAATTTGGTGCTAAAAGCGTAGTTGAGTAAACACTTGTTTTCTGTGGCGTTCTCGGCGAGGAAATTAAGCTTCTGAGAAAATCGCGGAGTGTGTTTATGCTGGATCTGATCAACAGAACAGCCTGAAATAGTCTGGAGCACATGTGTGTGTGTGTTCGTGTATTTATAGCTGACATTTGGACTGATTTCATTTTAATTGCAGGGAGGAGCTCGCGCTTTTCCATGCTCTGTCTACTCTGTTCTGGGCTGCGTGTGCGTGTTCGCTGTGTTTTCATATGCATTTTTTCTGCCTGCTGCTGGTTTGTGGGAGGGTCTCCGGCAGGACGCGGCTCTCTGAGTCATCGTGATGGAAAAAGGGAGGAGTCTTTGAAAGAGAGAGGGAAGGAAAGAGACATGGATCAGCTGAGGAAGGAGAATAAGGAATGATTTGCCGTTGAGCCGGTTTGTAGATCTCCATATGGCTCAGATCAACCTACACAGACAGGGAAAGAGAGAGCGATAGAGAGACAAAAGGAGAAAGAAGAGTTTTATTGGAGCGCCTGGATTTGCCGGCAATTAAGTAAGAGGAAAGAATGCGTGGAATGAGAGGAAAAGAGAGTGCGTGTGTGTGTAAAAAGGGATAGTTCACCTCAAAATCATCATTTATGCTGTGTTACTTTCTTCTTTTTTTAAAGAACGTTGGGGTCCAAACAGCTTTGGACCCCATAGACTTTTAATGTCTGGACAAAAAACTCAAAATTACAGGATGGACTTTAACTATACGTTTATTAGCCACAGATGTGAGCTAAATCTGACCAATCTGTTGTTCGGGGAAATCTGGCCAAGTCTTTAAAGGTGATTCATAAAGTAAAATGATGTTTTACTATGTGTTCTTTTTTTAGGGCTAGATTTTGGTCATCTGTAATCTCCATGAATAGCTTTATATGTAAACGATTCAAGCCTGTCGTATGCCTTCATTTAGATAGGTGTGTGTGTGTGTTTTGAACACTTTGTCCAGTGTTGGTGTTTTGGCCTTGGGCTCAGTATGACAGCAGCCTCTGTGTGTGTGTGTGTGTGTGTGTGTGTGTGTGTGTGAGAATAACTGTCTAGATTAGATCTGCATGATAATAATACTTGTAAATTTGAGATATTTTGTAGAATAGGGCTGTCATTCCATTGATATAATAATATGCCAGTTAATTAATAAAATTAATGGCATACACTATACGCTGTTCAAAAGTTTGGGGTAGGTACGTTTTTTAAAGAATTTCATATTTTTATTCAGGGAAATGTAGCATTGCATCAGTGTCTCAGCAATGGATGCTCTGCAGTGAATGGGTGCCGTCAGAATGAGAGTCCAAACAGCTGATAAAAACATCACAATAATCCACAAGTAATCCACACCAGTCCAGTCCATCAGTGAACATCTGGAGAAGACAAAAGTTGAAACAAATCCAGCATTAAGACCTTTTTAATTTCGAACAGTTGCCTATTTCTAATATATGAGTCCATAATCCATAATAATGCTTCCTCCAGTGAAAAATCTCCTCTCACATCAAAATACACGCACATATTTGTTTAGAGATGTTTTGGCTTGTAAACGCTGCTTGATCTGTGCAGATTTCTCTCCTGATTCACACCAGACCACTTTTACACTGGAGGAAGCGTTATTATAGATTATGGACTAATTTAGCCAGAAATTACAGTATAAACATCTTAATAATGGATTTGTTTCAGCTTTTGTCTTCAGATGTTCACTGATGGACTGGAGTGGTGTGGATTATTGTGATGTTTTTATCAGCTCTCATTCTGACGGCACCCATTCACTGCAGAGCATCCATTGCTGAGACACTGATGCAATGCTACATTTCTCCAAACCTGATGAAGAAACAAACTCATCCTGATCTCGGATGGCCTGAGAGTGAGGACATTTTCAGCAAATTTTCATTATTCTTCTAAGTGTTACTTAATGTTATATCACCAGCTGAATCATTGCAAATATATTCAATTTGTCACCCAACCCTAGTTGGCACCCTGTGAGATGATGAATAACAAGAGCTCTTTTTAGAGGTGTCGGTGTGTGTGTGTGTGTGTGTGTGTGTGTGTGTGTGTGAGAGAGAGAGAGAGAAGTGGACAGTGTGTTCCTTGTTCCTTGACCTTAGTTTGTGGGTGAAGCACATGTTTCTGGAGCCATGAGTGCTCTCTCTCTCACACACACACACACACACACACACACACACTTAAGGTTACGTGTGTATAAAGCAGCTTATAATACTTGAACTAATCTATTCTGGTTTCTTCAGTTTCTCATGAACGACTCCTGAGTTCTCTCTCTCGCTCTCTCTCTCTCTCTTTCTC